CTGTTTATTTATTTTTAATGGAGGTACTGGGGATTGAACCCAGGACCTCGTACTTGCCAGGTACACACTCTAACCACGGAGCTATCCCTCCCCACAACGTGCTGACTTTAACATCCTAGGTGTCTTCTCTGTGAGTGCACACAGGGTAGACCTCTGAAAAGTGGCACTGTAATTTTTTCTAGACTAATGGCTGTGCTGAGACAAAGTGGGATGGGGAGATTTTCCCACGCTAATGTAAAGGGCTCTTCACTTGGTTTCCGACCCTCTTTCTCAGAATGAATTGCTCACCCACTCCAAAACCCTTCCTGCAGAAATTTTGGAGTCATCACTGACTCAGTGGTAACCCCTAATAATAGAGTGGTGAATTTTATATTCAGATATGGATCCTGAGAGTTTAGAGGACATGAGAACATTTTAGAATAACTAAGTGTAAGGTGTATTCCCCTCCCACCGCTGTAACTGGTGCTCATTTTGTAGGTCAGCTACTTTTCTTCGAAGCAGTGTGGCCAGGGGGAGGAAGAATGTCTCTCAGGTTTCAGTTTGGAGGAGGAGAAGTTTAGATTGCCAGAGCTGGACTAGCACTTTTGAATTTTCTGGAAGGCTGGGCCCTGTGACTTCCTTGGGAAGCTCTGCCCCACCATCACCCCCACCCCTGCGCTGCTGGAGTCCGGGGCCACTCTGGTCTGCAGCCCAAATCCTGCCTCATTGTACCAGGGGCCAGGCCCAGGTTAGAGAGAGGGCCTGGCAGGAGATAAGTGTCACCTTTGCTGGGGGAAAGATGGATTGGGCCCTGGGAAAAAGCCTGACTCTGGTTGGATCTCCACCCTGACCTAATAAAGGCGGTGTCACTAAAGGGTGGGGTGTGAGGCAGGGGAGGGGCACATGTGCAGCCAGGCTGCCATTTCACTTCAGTGTCCATTCAGTGTGCCTGGCCAGTGCCCCACTGGCCTGGGTCACTGTGCCTGAATCGTCTTTGGATCATGTTGCCCCAGTGTTTTTGGTCCTTGCAGCTCTTTGCTTCACAACCAGTCTGGCTTATGGTCCAAGGAGTTCAGCCCTGGAGTCTGTCCAGCGGACCCCCAACTCAGAGTCGGGGGACTTTAATTATGTCACCCAGATGTCGGCTGAGACTTTTCTTCCGTACCTGGACGTGCATTCAGATGGAGAGCTGCCCGCAGGGCCATATCGAGGTGTTGCTGTCTCACATCAAGAGGGGAATCACAAGCTAACCCAGCATCAAAAGCTCCCAGAGGAGGTTCCAGTGCTAGGCTGGGATCAGAATCAGGCCCCAGCTCTGTCTCCTCGACCCAAAGGTAATAACACCAAAGCTATAGACATAGATCTACCTTTGGATGTTCTGGGAAGCCCAGATTGACCTCCAGAGCCCCCTGAGGAGGCTGAAATTTCTTCATCCCTGCCGGAGGCCTGAACTCATCATCCAGAGCCCACCAAGGAGGTTGACTCTCCACCCCAGCAAGAGGCCCCTGAGAAGGTTGAACCTTTTCTACCCCAGCAGAGGCCCAGGCTCAGCGTCTAGAGACCACGGAAGAGATAGAGCCACCTCCCCTTTAGCTGGGGGCTCTGTCTCAGCCTTCAGAGGCCCCTGAGGAAGTAGGCTCTTCAGGTTCCCAGGGGCTAGGGAGGACTTCAGGAGGTTTTAGTTGAACCATTAAGGCCTCAAGAGGTAAATGTTCCCAAAGAGAATGAAGCTCAGCAGTCAGCCCTGGACAGTGTCACTGTTAACCCTCTGGATCTGGCACTTACTGGAACTCCAGAGGTCACTAATGAGGTTGAAACTTCTCCAGTTCAGCAGGAGGCCCCTTCTGAGCCTCCAGAGAGGTCAGAGGAGGTTGAATCTTCACTTGAGCAGGCTGCCACCGGTCAGCCTCCAGAGCCGCCTGAGGAAGCTGAGCCTTCTCCAGGGGAATGGAGACAACCGGCTCAGCCTTATGAGTCTAATGGGGAAGTCATGCCCTTTTCAACACAGCAGGAGACCCCAACTCAGTCTCCAGCAGAGATAGAACCTTCTGCAACCCAGCAGGAAAGCACAGCTCAGCGTCCAGAGTCTCCTGCTGAGGCCAAACCCTCTGCAGCTCATTCTCCAGAGCATGATGTGACAACAGCTTCTCCTCCAGGCCAGGATCAAGCTCAGTCTCTGCAGGGACCCAGTGTCACTGTTAAACCTGTGGACCTTGCACTCACCATAACTCCGGGGCCCACAAGTGAAGCTGAACCTTCTTTGCCCCAACAAGAGGCCTCAGCTCCGTCTGCAGGGTTTCCTGAGCAGTTGGATCCATTATTTTTCCAGCAGGAGGCTCCGGATCAGCCTCCAGCCCCCTCAGGAAATGGTGAACCTTCTCCAGTCCAGCTTGAGCCCCCAACTCAGCCTCCAGAGACCTCTACAACTGCCGCAGCTCAACGTCCAGTACATAACGAGGTGATGTTCTCACCTGCAGATCCGGGTGAAGCTCAGCATCCAGTGATGCCTAGTACCACAGAAAAACCCCTGGATCTCGCAGTTATCATCACTCCAGAGCCTGCTAAGGAGGCTGGAAGTTCTCCAGAGCAGCAGGAGGGCTCTCCTCAGTTTCCTGTTTCCCCCCGAGCAGGCTAAATTTTCTCCAATCCAGTCCAAGCCTCTTTCTCCATTTCCAGAACCCCTCTGGGAAGGTTGAATCTTCTCCAGGCCAACAAGAGGCCACAGCTCAGGCTGCAGATTGCCCTGAGGGGCCAGGGCTTTCTTTGGTCCTGGAGGAGGCCCCAGATCAGCCTCCAGAGCCACCTAAGAAGGTTGAGATGACAACTGGAACACCAGGACAGAATCAACCTCAGCATTCCAGCTCGCCCAGTGTCACTGATAAACCTTCGGACTTGGGGTGTACTGTGACTCCATAGCCTCTTACAGAGGCTGGACACTCTGCAGCCCTGCAGCAGATGACATCTCCAGCATACCTGGAGGTGACACCTCCACAGGCAGAGCAGGTGCTGGCTCAGCATCCAGCCATGACTGAGGTCACAGTTCAACCTCCGTACCTGGGACTTACATTAAGTCCAGAGCCTAATAAAGAGGCTTAACCTTCTCCTACCATGCAGGGGAACCTAACTTGGCCTCCAGAGCCCCATCAGCCTTCATTGTATCAGGAGGTGACAGTTCCCACACCAGTTCAGGATCACACTTAGCATGTAATGTCACCTAGTGTCACAGATAAACCTTTGGGCCAGGGGCTTACTGTAACTCCAGAACCCACTATGGAGGAGGAACACTCTACATCTCCCCCTCCAAACACCCTCAGAGGACACTTGCCCCTTCAAGCATCACTCTAGTCACATTTCACACTGTGGATCTGGAAGTTACTGAAACTGGAGCAACCAGTGTGGACGTGAACCTTCTCCGACGAAGCAAGAGAACCCAACTGAGCCTCCAGAACCAACAAAGGAGGTTGTTGTTCAATATCCACCCTATCACGAGGTGACTGTTCCAACTCAAATTAAGGGTCAGGGTCAGACCCTAACAGCATCAAGCGTGAAATCTCATCATGTAGACCTGGAGCTAACCATGACTTCAGAACCTACTACAGAGGCTGAACACTCTACATCTCCCCCTACAAGACACAGTAAGGTGACACTCGCCGCTTCAAGCATCACTTCAGTTTCAGTTCACATGGTGGACCTGGAACATACAGTAACGAGCATCCATTCTGGACGTTGAACATTCTCCAACCAAGCAAGAGACCCCAGCTCAGCCTCTAGAGCCACCAAAGGAGGTTGACTTTCAAAATCCACCCCATCAGGAGGTGACAATTCCAACTCCAAGGAAGGGTCAAGGTCAGCACCAAACACAATCCAAAAACACACATCATCACCTAGGCCTGGAGATAACCGTGACTTCAGAACCTAGTGTGGAGGCTGAACACTCTACATCTCCCCTTCCAAAACACCCTGTTGGGACACTTGCCCCTTCAAGCATCACTCTAGTCACAGTTCACACTGTGGACGTCGAACATACGGTAACGAGCATCCATTGTGGGCATTCAACATTCTCCAACCAGCCTCCAGAGCTAGCAAAGGAGGTTGTCGTTCAATATCCACTCCATCAAGAGGTGACCATTCCAACTCCAAGGAAGGGTCAAGGTCAGCACCCAACACCGTCCAGCATCACACCTCATCACCTAGACCAGGAGATAACCGTGACTTCAGAACCTAGTGGGGAGGCTGAACACTCTACATCTCCCCTCAAAAACACCCTGAGGGGACACTTGCCCTTTCAAGCGTCACTCGAATCACAGTTCACACTGTGGACCTGGAACTTACATCAACAAGCATCCATTGTGGAGGTTGAACCTTCTCTGACTAAGCAAGAGAACCCAACTCAGCCTCCAGAGCCACCAATGGCGGTTGTTGTTCAATATCCACCCCATCAGGAGGTGGTCATTCCAACTCCAAGGAAGGGTCAAGGTCAGCACCCAACACCGTCCAGCATCATACCTCATCACCTAGACCTGGAGATAACCGTGACTTCAGGACCTCATGTGGAGGCGGAACACTCTACATCTCCCCTCCAAAATACACTAAGGTGACACTCGCCCCTTCAAGCATCACTCGAATCACAGTTCACACTGTGGACCTGGAACTTACATTAACAACATCCATTGTGGAGGTTGAACCTTCTCCGACCAAGAAATAACCCAACTCAGCCTCCAGAGCCAACAAAGGAGGTTGTCTTTCAATATCCACCCCATCAGGAGGTGACCATTCCAACTCCAAGGAAGGGTCAAGGACAGCACCCAACACCGTCCAGCATCACACATCATCACATAGACCTTTAGCTAACCGTGACTTCAGAACCTACTATGAAGGCTGAACACTCCACATCTCCCCCTCCAAAACACCCTGATGGGACACTTGCCCCTTCAAGCATCACTCCAGT